TAGGGTTCAGGGTTTAGGGTTTAGGGTTTAGGGTTTGGGGTTTGGGGATTGGGGTTTGGGGTTTGGGGTTTGGGGTGTATGGTTTAGGGTTTAGGGTTTAGAGCTTAGGGTTTGGGGTTTAGGGTTTATGGTTTGGGGTTTGGAGTTTGGGGTTTGGAGTTTAGGGTTTGGGGTTTGGGGTTAAGGGTTTAGGGTTCAGGGTTTAGGGTTCAGGGTTCAGGGCTCGGTGCTGTGGTTCAGGGTTCAGGGCTCAGGGCTCGGGGCTCAGGGATCGGGATTCGGGGCTCGGGGTTCGGGGCTCGGGGCTCAGGGCTTGGGGTTCGGTGTTCGGGGTTCGGGGTTCTGGGTTCAGGGTTCGGGGTTCTGGGTTCAGGTTTCGGGGTTCACGGTTCACGGTTCAGGGTTCAGGGTTCAAGGTTCAGGGTTCAGGGTTAAGGGTTCACGGTTCACGGTTCACGGTTCACGATTCAGGGTTCAGGGCTCAAGGCTCAGGGCTCAGGGTTTAGGGCTAAGGGCTAAGGGTTCAGGGTTCAGGGTTCAGGGCTTAGTGGGGACTATATCACGTTGGACATCTACCTCATTAGCCATTTCTTCCTCGATGTTTGTATAAAAAGTCGAGGTTGAGATCATGGATTTTGCTCTTGGTTTTAGCAACGCATGCCCCTGCTCCACTTTCATAAAGCTTGTCTTTGAGGACCTCATATTCCTCAGAACTCTTAAACGCTTCTAAAGCCCCAACTCAGGCCTCCTCAACACGGAATGGAAGCTCCGCCATTAGGTGATCAACCTTTTTTTCTCGATCTCAAGCTCAAGGGCTAGAGTTTGGTTGATTTTCTTCGCATAGTTGATCTCGATGTCAAGTTGATTCTTTCCTTGACCTATACTCCTCTATGGTCTCCTTCTCGACCTCGAGATTTGCCTTTAGCTTCTCGATCACACTAGAGGAGCATTGGTGTTGATCATACATGCTAGCAATCTCCTCGTAGTTAGCAATAGACGAGATAAGATCCTGAGAAAGAGAAGATCTAATCCGTTAGAGAAATGTACGAGTTCTAAAGGAGTGCTTGCAACAGCTAAAGATTAATCTCCTACCCGTAGCTGGTAGTCAAGGACTTGACGATACGTTTAAAGTGTGGAGGCATCTGGGAGAGAAAGTCGCATTCTTCCTTGGTCGCGTCAGTGTCCACAAGCTCTGCACTCCTAACCTTGGAACAGGATCAATGGATTCTGCAGCTCGGCATAGAGCTGGTAGCAAACTGCTCAACAATTTGACCATCAAAGTTACAGGGGAGTCTTCTTCGTCCCTGAAGATCCAGTCTTTGCTTTCTTCAGATCCCTCTCCTTTAGATCCCGAGGCCTCTTGATATTCATCTTTGGGATCATGTCTACACAAAAGAGAGAAATGTTAGCTCGACAAGAGGACACTACAAAATTTTAGGGTTAAATTACAAGACAAAGAAGGTGGACCTTTATGATCCATATGATGG